AAGTCAGACTCTGAACCCTCCTGTCCCAGAGCTCTGTTAAAGCCTAGATCCTGCTACCTGTTCTGTTCCTGCCTGATCTGCAACCCGTTCTGTCTGTTCCTGCCTGATCTGCATCCCTGATCAGGATCGGCTTCCCCCAACTCGTACAGAGCTACAGCACTGGGGACTCTCTGGGTCACGCGAGCTGCGTCAGCTTCCAGCCCATCGGCTGGATTGCACCCCTCAAGGGTTATGGACTGAACTGCTAAACCAGGTAAGTGACTCACTGAGAACATCATCTTCAGTCAGATGATCGTGGTCACTTACCTGTGTTTCTCCCACTACAGAGTGTCTGAGATTGGGCGGTGCCCCACCCTCCCACCTGCAGTGTCCGCGAGCCACAGGCATCCCCGATCCTGATCAGGGATGCCTACCTTCAGCACAGAGGACTTTGACAAGCTTCTACAGAAAATAGCTGTCATGGAGCTGAAAATCCACCAACTTGAAGTAAACTATGATGTAAAGGCCGCGTATGGTAATGAAACAACGCTGCCTGATTCCGAACGGGGACCACCAGCCCAGCAACTCAGCGAACAAACAATTCCCAGAGGAAAATGAGAATCCCTGGACCACTCTGGGTGCTAGACCAAAGGAAGACACAGAAAACTGGCCGAGACCACAGAGAGATGTCCCAAGAAAAGTGAAACAAAAACGGGATGTTCTCACAACAAATGATAGGAGTAAACCTGCTGGAAATGTTGGAATTCCGTTACAAAACAGATTTGCTCCACTTCAAGATGAGACCCAGAAGGATCACAAGGACAATCAAAGGTATGTCAACAATCTTCACTCTAAGCTACCAGAGAAAAAACAAGCCACAGGGCCAAGGACCCTGATATTATGCAGTGGATCTATAAGTGGGATTAAACATTTCTGTAACAAAAAAAAAAACACAGAGGTGTTGATTTATACCCCTTTGAACTATGGCCTGGTGTCTAATGTATCAGATATCCTTCCAGAGATCATGAAAAAATGCCCGACCTTGGAAAAACTCATCATACAAGCTGAAGCCTTGGGCGACGCAGCCCTGAGAAAATCAGAAATACTGAAAGAGGATTACATTCGTCTGCTTAATTTAGTTGATGGTCTTAATGTCAAGGTGTTTCTCAGCGGCCCTCACGTGCCCATTAATTGTGGAGATGAAATGTTTTTTTCAGAATTCTGATGTTAAACAAATGGCTGGATACAACATGCAAACAAACAGCTGTAATGTTCATAGACAACTTTAACGTCTTT